TTCTGGGATAGGTGGAGTTTGAAACCATCAGATCTTTGGGTTTTTGCATGCTTTTTGAGCTCTTGCTTTCCTACAGAGATGACAGATAACCTGTCCTCAGGACAGCTGCCATTTGGTGTGGAAGTGAATGCTTCAGGGTGCTTTCTCATGGAGAGGACCTCTCCTCGCTTCTCTAGAACTTAAAAAAAAAAAAAATGTGACTAGCCGTGGCAAAGAGCAGTGTAAAGAAAGTAAATTGTATGTGTAAAAGAGGACCGTTTGTTATAGGCTGCTGGGTTTCTGGAAAAAATAATAGCAGAAGATACCATAGAAGCAATAGAGCTAAACTGTACAGGCTGTAAGGTTATTGTTGCTTCTAAGAAAATACCCATGAACAAACTGGAAGCCAAAGTCCAGCTGGCAGACAGAGATTGTATGAGGGCCTCATTGTTACTCCATATCCAGTGGAAATCCTCTTAGTTCTGACTGTTTCCATTCCAGCCTCTTCCTTCATCACTTAAACGAACTGCACTTTGCAAGCATTGTTCCCACGTGTTCGTTATCTACCACCTGGCTTCTGAAGAAAACCTCCTTTGAAACCATTAAAGGCAAAACTTGAATAGTCCTTATTTCAAGTTGTTTTCTTCACGTCATTCTGGTCTCTTACTCGAGCTGCTTTGGCAGGGGCACCTGGACAGGGACAAGAAGATGATGTTACTAGTAGGAAATGTGGCTTTCTCCCTTTTATCTCCAAAAATAGTTTCACTTCTTATAATCAAACAGGCGCATCAAAGTACAAGAGTGAACAGGAAGCCCTAAGGAAAGAAAAAAAAAAAATATATATAGACACAAAATGGGCAAGCCATTTTCTGTCTCCTGAGACATGATTGTTCCCCTCTTAAAATGCACCCAGCTGAGAGTTAATAATTGATAAATCAATTAGCAAGCAATAATGATATGTATCCCACATAAAGCTCTTGCCCACAGATCTCAAGGCACTGTAAAATGCTAAAAGCATGGGGAAACAGGCACAGACAGAGGTTGTGTGTGTTACCAAGGCCACGAAGTGAGTGAGTGGCAGAGCAGGGAATAGACCTGCATGCCTAAAAGCCAAACCCAATAATCCATTAGGGTTACTTTAGTTGGGTCAGAGCCTTTCTGGGATGAGAGGAATGAACACACACACACACACACACACACACACACAAATACATATGCACATATAGACATATGTATACATATGCACATATATACATATGCACATACACACATGTATACATATGCACATACACATATATGTATACGCACATACACATACACATATATGCATACATATAGATATAGATGCACACACATACATGCACATACACACACGTGTGTAATATCTGTAAATACACATAAATATTATCTATATTAATAAAATATTTCAATCCGAGTCTGCTCTTGCTTTCTATTCGCTTGGTTCTTATCCTTGGTTTCAGCCTTCATTTTAGATGGGCCATTAGTTCCTGCTCATTTACCCTGGGCTCTTTCACTAGGCTGGCAACCACAGTGGGGACCCAATGCATTTGCAAGGACCAGCCCCTGGGTGCTGGGCTGTGGGTGGTGAGCTTCTACACTGAATGACAGACGTCCTCCTGGAAATTTTGTTGCTTGGAAACAGAAGTCAACAGACAATGGACGCAAGAGCTTCTAACCTTGCTTGGGTCATTTGTACAGAATAACAGCAGGGCACTGTCGGCTTTTGAAGTGTTGCAACACTTTTTTTGTTTTCCTGAGCAGGCCCCTGGCCCAGCTGCCTCAACAAACAAGCTTGCTGCTGGCTGTAAAGTATATCATTTGACTTTTTACCTAGGGCACCTACTCATGTATCATGGAGGAAGACATAACTAAATACAAGCAATGTTGGTTGACCTGGGTGATTAACAGGTGCAGCCTAATGGCCCTGGTTCAACTGAAAATCTCAGAGCCAAGAAGGCCACATAAGGATGTAGCTCTGGTGTTCACCCGCTGGTCCCCAATCCGCCTTGTTACTGAGAGCTGGGGATTTGCCTGGAAATATGTCCTGCTGATTTCTGAAGTCCAGTACTTTTGAGAGCTGGCACTGGAGCTTCACCAGCTGGGGACAGAGCTACCAAAAAATGCTCTCCCCAAGCGGTGCAGGTGGGAAGACACTGGTACAAGAAGCAACGAAAGCCCGTGCAGACAATGGCACATGAAGATGTGAACTTCTAAAAAATACCAAGCCAAATCCTCAGTTGCACCTGAATAATTCCAATTGATTAAATGAGCGTGCCCACGTGTAGATGAGACCAAATTTGGCCAAGGATGTTGAATTTTCAGTATATCCACTGAAATACTTCAGATGGTTCGTCAAGCTGGGGCCAACTCTTCTGAGACTCTTCTGAAACAGCAGTTTGGCCATTTCTTTTTGGCTGGCCCTTCAAGCTCTCTTATCCCTTAATCGCACAAATTGTGCCAATCGCATGAAGAATTTAAGCGACTGCAATAGGCCAACATGCATATATGAGGACGGTGTGCCAGTATTGGGCCCTGGGAGAATGAAATGTTAAACACAGGAGTCACGAGTCAGAAAAGTGAGTAGGAATTTTGGGTGCCCATTGGAGACATCTAAAAAGGGTGTGTTTATTAGACTGAGGCCCAGAATTAAGGTTCGCGTCATCGCCCAGCCTGCAGTATTCATAGCTACCTGAAAACCAAGCTTATTAAAAGCACCTTGAGTTGGACACACAAAAGCCAAGGTCTATGCAATTCAATCTATGCAGTTAAAACAAATAATAGGCCTAAATAACAGTCCCATTGCTGCCACAGATTTTGATGCTGATTTAAACAGGAACAGAACAGAGTCCAATGCCCAGTGGTGTGTCAGCACTCTAATAAGTCAGCACTTTTTGGGAAGTAATTTTGGGTATAAATGTGCAAGGATTCTGCATAACGTTCAGGGGATTAGCAATAAATTATTCCTGCAGATGTCTTTTCCCTGAAAGAAACTATATATTTATATATGTATAGCTATATATATAGTTATATATATAGACTAGCATCTGCTGAGTGAAGTCAGTCTCTTCCACCTCCATCACAGTGCCAATAAAGGGGCTGTGCCCTTTCAGGCTCAGCGTTGGGGCGCTATTTCACTAACTCCAATTTACACGAGTTTATAAATTGTCTGATTATGCAAATAATGGTTCGGTTCTTACCATCACCACTCAAGGAAAACCCAGGATTAGCATCCTTTGCAGAAAGACGCCAGGTTGCACTTAGGGTTTGTAACATTTGAAGTAAATCTCTCTCTGGTTATCACTGATACACAACTTCACAGGGCGAATTTCACTGAGCAGCTCCTCACGGCCCAGCAGATAAACTGCACACGCTTTATCAGCGCTTCCATGAGATATACATTACTTCATCTTAAAATGCTAATGATAAATCTGTTCATGAAGCAAGGAGGTCAAATATTCAGCAGCATTGACAAACACACCCACAAACTTTGCAGGTGCATTCATTTGCCCATGAAAAATCCTCCATTTTTGCTACTGCTAAGTTGCTCACACAATATCAGCTTGCATGCAAGCATCAGTTTGCAAAAGGAACATGCCTGTGGTTTGTGTCAGTGCATTTCATAGCACCGACACGGAGAGACTCCAATTGCATTGTGCTGCACAGATTAAAACATTTCCTGATTGCTACCATTGATAAGCACTCACCGGTTTAAGATAAGCGACGTTACTCTGACGGATGTCATTTAATAGCTGATCTCTCGGACTTACTTCCACCAGAGGAGGTGGTCTGCTTCTTGGAACCGGTTTAAGCGTCTTGATCACATCTTTGAGATTGGTTTTTTCAGGGGGCTCCACATATTGCTTCACAGAGGGTTTGCGCTGGATCTTCTTCAGCTTAATCACTCGGAAGGAGGACGTCTCCGTCTGTGGTTCAGGGGCTGGCTTTCTTGTGTGTCTTTCTTCCTTTCTTTTGCTAATAGGCATGGGTTGGGGAACAGGAGGTTTGGGGGCGAGTATTGGCTCATGGATCCTCGGATCAGGGATTGGCCCTCCTAGCATTTCCCACATCCCAGGAGGCAGCCCAAATCCATTTTCTAACATGCTGATCAACTCCCTCTGCTCTTTTAATTGCTGCTGTTTCTGCTCCTCCTGTCTTTTTTGTCTTTGTTTGTCAAGATTTCTGCTGAGCAGGTTGGTCACAACCATCCTGGGGCCGGGAACTTCAAAGTGATAGCCTATCTTCAGCAGGGTAGGGTTGGCTTTCAAAAGCCTGGCGATCTCCATTTCTGCTTGATGGCCCAGCATGTTCCTCTGGTTGTGAAAGCGCAGCTCAGTCAGCCTCTCGTTAAACTGCAGGCATCGCATGATGGCGACGATGCCTTTGCCCGTGAGAAAATTAGAATCAATGTTTAGGGTCGTGATGCTCCGGTTTTCACGCAACATGTTGGCCAGAGCAAACGCAACGGTGTCGTCCGCACCCACGTTGGCTAAGCTAAATGTTTTGACGTGCTTGTTTTTTTTCATGGCATTGACAAAATCTATCAGCATGTCCTTTGGGATGTTTTCTATGTTGTTCAGGTTGAGTTCTGTGATATCTGGATTGTTTTTCCGGATGTTCTCCAAACTGGCTTCTAAATTGGTTTGATTCCCTGAAGGCCTTGCACTTAGCTTAATGAAGCTAGTGTCCATAGCCAACTTTTTAGGAAGACTTAACTTTGATATTTTCTTCTCATTTTCTTCTTGCTTCTCTGAACTTTCCCCTGAGTCTGTACCTGGTTTTTTCTCTGTCATCTGTTCACTGTTGCTACTTTCATCTCCATGTAGCTCTTTTGTTCCTGATTCTTCTTCCTCCTCTTCCTCCTCCTGTTCCTCCTCCTCTTCCCCTTCATCCTCCTCCTCTTCCTCCTCCTCTTCCTCCTCTTGTTCTGTCTCCTCATTGTTTCGGTCTTCATTTGCTTCTCCTGATTGTTTTGCTGAATCAGACTTTCCTAGTTGCTCATTTCTGTAATATCTTTCTCTTCCATCTGCTTCTGTAGCATCTCCTGGCAATTCCTCCTTAGTGATATCCTCTGTATCATCAGTATTTTCTTCAAATTTGTCTGCAGTGTTTCGCTAAGGAAGACAAAATATGAATTGTTGAAATCATTTTAAATGGCTTTCTTACAATAATTATACACTAAAATAAAATATAGCAGATGGGTTTAATGTATCAGTATTTTTTTCCAGCGTCATATTAGAATATTTAAAAATAAATTGCTGACGGGTTGTAGATCCAGCATGAGTACAACATGTTTCCTTACCCTCAGTCGTATGATACAGAAACTTATGTACAGAACGTATGTACAGAACACGTTATGTACTTATGTCATGTATGTACAGAAATGTCTATATATGCCCAGGGACACCAACAGTTACAAACATATATGCTTAGTGATACCTTGCAGATCCTAGATATTCAAGGTCTATTCGCTAGGTTTCAACCAGGCTCCAGTTTTCTGTCCTGCGAGAGCGCATGTTCTGCCATTCCCATAGTTTTCGTGCAACAAAACTTTGGAAGCAAATATTTAGCTATCAGCTCCATGGCTTAGCCTAATGAAGACTGAAGAGGAGACAGTATAATAATGGGCACCAATAGCTCCACCCAAGACAGCAAACCTTCAGAGCAGGGGAAGCTGTTGAAAAGAAAGGGCCGTACTGAAGACACAGATAAATATTACTGATCATTTGAGGTGGGAAGGTGGCCTCCGAGCACCACTTGATGCTGTGGTGTGCTGTAAAAGACTGCTTTTACCAGCAGTAGTAAGATTATGTTTCAAGAGGAGAAATCACCACTTCCTCTAAAGCCTCATTTGGCATGACAGATTCCTATTTTAATTCCTCTTTGTGGAAGGCAAGGAGGAGATTTTACCACTCATCATCCATTGCACTTGGTCGGCAGCTTGATGCCAGGCTGCAGCTGAGCAGAATACCTCACCAAGATTAATTTTCATCTGTACCTAGGAAAACTTTTACAATCCTTGCAATCTCCTATGCCGGATGAAGGGTCTTTGTGCCCGAAAGCTTGCAAATAAATTTTTTTTTTTGGTGCAAATATCTAGTTGGTCTAATACAAGGTATCACCTCTGCCACGAGTTTTGATTCCTTTTGCCGCTAGACCAATACCTGGATACCTCACCATGATGTCTGTATTCAACAGCAGGGGTTCCCATGTAGTGCCTCCACAGCTGACGTACTGATAAGAATCAGGCTTTTCAAGGGAACCGGAATAAGGGCTGTGATTTAGGTGGGGATTTTGCACTCACGAAATCTGGACCAAGGCTTGAGTGCTGCATAACTGCATTTCTCGTTTGCAACAGCAGAGGTTGCTATCTGTCAAGTTGTGAAGCAACAATAACAACAACAACAATAATAATAGAAGGGGAGGCAAAAAAAAAAAAATTCAGATTAGAAATAAGGTGTACATTGGTAACAGCGACGGTAGAAAGCTATTGGGGCGACTCACCAATGACTGTTGTGAAGTCTCTGTCACTGAGGATTTATAAAGATTAGCTGTTTCTCAAAGAGTAACACCCCAGTTCAAGCAGGAGTGAATTCAGGGAAGTCCTATGGCCTGGCTTATGTAGGAGCAGAACCGCCACAATGGTCAGTCGCGCCCTTAAAATCTATGAATGAAGTAAAGGAAGCTGAACTTGATTAAAATTGTTTTGCTGTATAATGTAATACCTCAGGGAGTGAATGGGAATTACCTTGAAATAGAATTAGGAGCAAAGGAAACTGCTCCAAAATCTGTGAGAGTTGAAATGCAGATCCATGCCTTGCCAGTCAGGCCCATGTCTACCTTGTTTTACCATGGGGCTAAAGAAACCCTTTACATTTCCAAAGTAAACGAGAGAAGCATGAACTTTATTATATGATCTTGTTAGAAGCCAATGGACAAGAAACACTGCTGCTTTCATCCCTAGAGTTACTGGGTCACTAAAATGTCGCTGAAATTCAGGGATGTACTGCACTGCTGCATGCGAGAATATAACCACCACACAGATGGCCGGACCGAAGTTGAAAAATCACAGAGTGACCTATAAATCATAAGAAGTTAGGGTTGCAAGAGACCTTAGGAGGTCACATCTAGTCAAAGCAGGACCATCCCCAACTAGATCATCCCAGCCAAAGCGTTGTCTAGCTCGGTTTTGAAAACCTCCAAGGATGGAGAATCCACCACCTCTCTGGGTAACTTGTTCCACTGCTTTACTATCCTCTTCACGATTAAATTCTTCCTAATATCTAACCTAAACTTCCCTTGCTGCAACTTGAGCCCATTGCTCCTTGTGCTGTCATCTGTCACCACCGAAAACAGTCCAGCTCCAGCCTCTTTTGAACCCCTTTTCAGGTAGTTGAAGGCTGCTGTTAAATCCCCTCTCAGTCTCCTCTTCTTTAAACTAAATAAGCCCAGTTCCCTCAGCTCTTCCTCATAAGACACGTGCCCCATCCTTTAAAACTTGGGCAAGTCTGAGTCCTGATGTATTTACTCAGGCACAACTCCCGTGCTATTCGGCTCTACCCTATGGGGGTTTGGCCAGCATAAGACCTGCATTGAAAAAGGGCTTCAGTACTCTGTTGAATAGGGTTGCGCTGCTAAATTAAGGTCTGTGTAGAAAGACCTGGCTACACCCTGAACTGGGTAAATGAGTGTGGGTCAATTAACTTTGTTGATCTATACAACGAGGATTTAGCTGGGAGTCACTCATTAGCCAGCGTTACTCAAGAGTCCAAAAGACAGACGTTTTTGAGCGTGCCATTACATGTTATTAGCTATTTAGTTTTTCTTTTTCAGTTCATTACTTGTCTAAATTCTTTGGGGTTGCGGTCAGGGTACTAGAACGCAGGTTATTGAATGTTTGTTCTGGAAAGTACAAAGCTCGAGTGACATTTTCTGAGAGGCTCTGACATGGTGATTTTTCACTCCCGTGAAACCAAAAAGGTCACAATCATAGAAAACTACAGCTGGGGGGGGACCTCAGGAGATCATCTAGCCCAGACCCCGCCCCCGCCCCGGACTCCCACCTATATTTGAAATGGCAGCTCAACTTTTAAGACACAAATAGTCATACGAACCCTGCGGTAGATTCCACCATTAGATTCCAGCATCACTGAGACTTTTGACAGACCCCTAAATCCATACGTTGTGTTTTGAGTCGTATAAAGGAGCTGGTAAAAAGGAAGATGAAAGCCCTGAACACCCATCTTTGCAACGCACTGCTACAGTAAAGACACCGCCGCAGAGGCATAACAAACACTTGTCATTCCCACCTATTACCTCAGACGGCAAGAGGGTGGCCGAAGCTCTCTCATCCTCCAGTATACGTTTGGCTGCTTTCTGCCAGTACAAATAATCAACGAGAGACCTGTGGTCGAAGTTCCCCGTTGGAGGTTTCTCGGTCTGGTCTTTCTGTATCATTCCCACCGGCACTTGTGGGTCCGGAGCCATGACTTCCATTTCGCTCTGTAGCTCCCTCAGCTCTTCGGGAGATAAGTTTGCTAAGATTTCGTCTTCATCGATGTCTTCGGAGTAGACCTCTTGGTCTGAATTTTGGCTGTATTCAGACATTTTCTTTGTTCTTTCCCTAGAAAAAAAAAAGTTAAAAAAAAAAAAAGCGACAACCTATCCGACCAACAGTATTGTGCTCTGTAAAATCACCAGCTTAATGTTTCTGTCATGAACTGTGGCAGTGTTTGATCTTAGTGTGAGAGGGAGACAGTGGCACTAAGGCTTATGCTAAGTCTATATTAAGCTGCACTTGGCTGGATAAAGAGAATTTATGGAGATGCTGCCATGCTCCGTTTTCAGCAACTTGTCAGCTGTGCAAACCCTTCTGACATTTCAGTGCAGCTGGTGAGTCTCCCCCATTGAGTAATACATACGATGGTAGTTTTCTAGAGGATTCCCTTAGGAGGGTGACTTCTAATGTCTGAGTCATCAATGTATATGGGGGGGACTTCATCCATATGGAAAGAACCAACACAAGACCTATGAATCAGGAAGGACTCCCCGAACCCTCAAAATAGGGCTTAAGCTGCACCATATGCCAGGACACAGGCAGATTTCACCCTGCATGTGGGGTCCTTGCGGAGTTTGAAAAGTAACAGGGTCTGTCAGGGGCTTTTATTTGATTTCAGGCATCAAATGCTGGATTATGATGTATGGAGATGCTATATTCAGAAACTTATCCCTCAAGACTTCTGCAATATTCTGCTCAAAATGATCCTTTTTTGTTTCTACTGCCCCTCGCTCCTGGCATTTGTCTCCAGACTCCTCTTCCTTGCCCAGATCTATTCCACCCCCAACAATCCTCTATTCATTTAACTTCTTGAAAACGTTGCACTTTTAGAGAAAGGTATGGGCTTGGCTCTGTACAAAAGCTTGCAGAGAGACAGCAGGACTGGTGGATAGGTAATCAGGTCTGTTATCTCTCATTTCCATAGACTGCTATTAATAAGCATGTTATCTCTGGAACCACAAATCCACAGTTTGAGAACTGAAACTAAGCATCACAGCGATGCTTAATGGGATCTTCTAGACCAAGCACAGGCAAGATCAGCCCTGTGAAAACTCATGAAAGTCCTGAAAAATGGGTTTAAGCTAATTAAAATACCTCCCAAAATGTCCAGTGAGAGCATGGATCATTTCTGACTAATAATGCCCCACAACTTCAGTCTCCCGGTGCTATTGATCTAATGATTCAATAGTTTTGTGAATGTTGTAGCTGATGGGAATATGTTATTTCAGGAGGTGAGATTGCAACCCACATAGACCTACCTGAACCAGCTTTCTTGAATTTAGCTCATGGAATGCCAAAATCAGTGAAGACCTGGCAGCAGGGACCATACTAGCCCACCTAAAACTGCATATTTGTACTCGGGCTAACTAGATTGCAACTAGCTCAGTATAGGCAAGCCCGACTTAGCGTTCTTAATTGGTTCCTGAAAAACCAAGCGTTAAGCGAAACATGCATTAAGTGAAACCAAAAGTATCTGACAACCCAAAATGGTGACTGCAATTGTTTTTAATGACCCGAGATGGTGACCGTGAGTGTTATGACAAGACTCGCTGAGTGCTAAGTGAAATCAGGTATCAATTTAAAATGAGCGTTATAGCAAAATAGCACTAAGTGAAAGCACGTGCCTCTATGTGTTCACGTTCCACAATCAGGTGTCTAACCATGATGTAGACATAGCTTTACCTCCTACAGAAACCCTCACTTGGGAATCAAACATCAGCGGTGCGCAGGCCAGGTGCGTGCAGGGGAAAATATCACCAATCATGTTTCCCCTGAGTTGGGCCATATCATCTTCAAACTCAAACTACTAATATTAGGCTATTACAGGTCCCTGTTTACCACAAAGGATGCCAAGTGCAAGTATAAAACAAACCCTGCATCCCATTCACCAAGTATATTTAATACCACCCTGAAGCTTTATTCTTTATTTAGCTTTCGCCTACCCTCTGTGTGTTAAAAAGAGTTACTGGCACTTTTTTTTCTCTCTGGATCGCTATCAACATATGCTCTCCATTATTTTTTCCAGAGAGACTATTATGTGCAGGCTGGTCCTGCTTACGAAATACAGAGCACCACTTGTCATTATAGGGTCTTTACATTGCACTGAGATTACAGATACAACAGATGGGGTAACCCATATTGTATTTCCATGTATTGTCCGTGGAGTGTCATGAGTACACATGGCACTTTATTTATCACATGAGAGACTGCAACCAATACAAACCACTTCCTACAAGAACTACCTGGTAGCAGGTTGCCATTGGCACACAATTCACTGTATTTTGTTTCAAAGGTATTTTTGTATAGTATTAATCAGTATCACGCTGGGTAGGGATTCTTCACGGCAAGAAAAATCGTGACGAGAAAAAGGGTTTTTTGCAGCATGCAGAGCCGATTTTGTGGGCACTTGTGGTGGCTCCGCCCCTTGGCACTGATTGGTGGAGGCCCTGGCAGGGAAAGGAGGGACAAGAGGGCAGCCGCCATCTTGTCTGCTGCTCTTCATGCTTCCCTGCCAGCTGGCGCCTTCCCCTCCCCACAGCAAAGACTGCTGGATCCTGCTGGGGAGCCAGCATTCTTTTTCTTTTTTAATTAATTTTGTGGACCATCCCAGATTTTTCCGTTTCCGTGAAATCCACAAACCCACGAATTAAGTAGGTCCCTAACAATGGATCCCCGATCTTTGGAGGGATCCTTAGGCACTACTATAAACAGAACAATTTCCCAGTAAATGTGAACAGCCCATGGAACATACTTCTTAAAACAGGAGGATTGAGAGACTAACATTCAATTTATCACCTGTTCTTCAGTAATACAGTGGATTTTAGTCTTTGTTTCCAGTTACCAGTTATGTGCTTCTGCTCTTGCACTGCAAAATTACCAGAGGACAGATTTCTGGGTGCGCCAGCCCCCACTGACTTATGTGCATCTCAGTCATGTGGTTTAACACGCTGCGAGACCTGTTCTGTCTGCTACTGGCAAGGATATTATCCATGTCCCTAACTGTTCTTTGGTTGGCAAATTACCCAAGTCCATTCCTCCACTACCCGTTTTTAATAAATAAACCAACATGCCGAAATTATCCTTTATCAAGGTGAATATAACTAATAAAGGATGTTTGAAATCCATATTCTTCCTCTTCCCTACAGGTTATTCTTCTATTGTTCTATTTTACAACACTGAACAACAAGGCATGTCTTTGATATTTCAGTGTAAATGACTGTTTCTTTGGAGATAAATCCTGCATTGTGGGAATGTTTCTACAAGGATAGAATTTTAGTACCTCAGTTTGGAAGGTTCATTTGTTTAAAAAGTTACCTTTAATAATGTCAAGTCTTCATCAAAGACCAAATTCTGTCCCTCCATTTGTGTACACAGCTGTATGGAAAAAAAAAAGCAAGGCTAGAAAGAAACGAGTCCTCAGCTAATCACTGTTAATTGGCCCTAAGGCACTACCATAGAGAGTGTGGTGGAATTTGGAAACTACAGAAGACTTATTGATCTCTAAAAACCCCAGGCTCTTATAGAAGTCAACAGCAATCCTGCCCTTCATGTGTTCCCGAGATGCCCTCTGGGTTCCCAAGTCACCCCGGCTCCACCTGCCTCCCCCGCCCAACTTCAGCAGAGCACGAGGCTGCTTTGTCCTCACGTATGTGCTCTGAGACTCACTGAGAGACAGCGAGTAACTATTTTTCCCCCAGGGCAAAAAGTTTTGCCTGGAGCTAGTCCACCCTTGGCCACTCTGGAAAGTTGTTCCCTGGGAACCAGCACCTATTCCACATACCTACCTGCTGTTCCCTCTGTTATGTTACATATTTCCACGTGCACTGAATGCCAGACCAGTACAAGGCTCATTCACTTGCCACTTAAATCCATTGTCTGAACATCCCATTCCATTCAGGCAGGGTAGATAAAAATCAATGTTTTTTTAAAAAAAACAAAAAAACAAAAAAAACCCACATTTTTTTTCCTATTTAAATCTGATTTTTTAAATTTAATCATACTTTTTTTGTTAAGATGCTTTTTAAAAAAACCCCACAAACCTATGTAATGATCAGTTTAATTTAAGATATGTTAGAGCTCAAAGATATCATCATGGAATAGGGATTATAACTTCTAATTATATACTATTTGAGACAATATATTCATGTAACCTTTTTAGAAAACTTTTATAAGTAGGTCACAATAGGTCATGGATTATATTATGGGTCCAATATTATGGGGTTCCCAGAGGCTCCTTTAAACATTAGTAAAGATTAAAGAAAACCACTTTACCCAATGGGACTCTGTGTTCAGTCTGGAAGATCCCATTAAGCGTCTCTATGATGCTTAGTTTCAGTTCTTAAACTGTAGATTTGTGGTTCCAGAGATAATATGCTTATTAATAGCAGTCTATGGAAATGAGAGATAACAGACCTGATTACCTATCCACCAGTCCTATTGTCTCTCTGCAAGCTTTGGTACAGCGTCAAGCCCTTACCTCTCTCTAAAAGTGCAGTTTTCAAGAAGTTAAATGAATAGAGGATTGTTGGGGGTGGAGTAGATCTGGGCAAGGAGGAGGAGTCTGGAGATAAATGCAAGGAGCGAGGGGCAGTAGAAACAAAAAAGAAACATTTTGAGCAGAATATTGCAGAAATCTTGAGGGATACATTTCTCAGTAGAGCATCTCCACTGATTTCAGATCTAGTGAGGAAATGGTATGGTAGAAGGGAAAACCTATCATGGCAGCAGGCCTGCAGGCTGTAAAAGAGACCCTCTTTGGAAAGACTTTAATGAAGGTTATATCAAACAACAGGAATGCACTTTTTGTAGAAAACAATGATTAAATTGAGACTTCCTGACCAGTTATTTAAACCGTGATTTAAATGAGATCCACCCTGCATTCAGGCATATTTCTTATGATGGGCCAAATGCTGTTCCATCCTCAGTCAATGCAAATCTCACAGGGCTTGCACTGGTCAAAGATTTGGCTCCTAGTCTTGGCTGAACTTTATAGCAACAGAGTATTTATGCATTCACTTCCACGAAAAAGCTGTAAGTCACTGTACAGTCCTTGTTCCTCATAAGTGGAAATGACAAAAATAAAAAAGCTAGAAACTAAAGCTAAAGGAAAAGCATAGTGGGTATCTTGTTGTCCCCTTGGTATTTTGAGGGACATTCTTTGTTTGATATAATGCATCAGCAAGCACACAGCAGACCCACACATCAAT